CAAAAAAGTCTATTAACTGGCAGTTGACTTCTCACTTCAAACTACCACCATCTCACTCTATGCCATATTAGACCCCTTCCACAGTACTAATCTAGCCTTTTCTCTGACTTTGTGTCTGTCTGTCTGTCTATTACATGTGTAAATCGCTCTTCTTTCTCCCTGTCGAATTTTTCTTTGAAGCACTCTTCTGTTCCTCCCCCCCCCTCTCGACTATTTTCAGTTTGATGTTCCTTCTCCTCTGTGAAGTCTGAAGTCAACTAAAGAGCTGATGATAACTATCAAAACGCCTGCCATTTAATATAAATAAATAAATGAAAACTTTTCAAAACGCCCTATTCCTACCACTAATAGTCATTGTTTTTTATTTTACAACAGGTTTTTTGAGGCTATTCTACACTACTACTGTTCGCCTTCTAAATGACCATTGTGTTACCTCAAGTATGTGTTTTCTTCTAACGTATAGCATGTTGAGTAGAATTTCTGTAGAAAGATTCGCATTTCTTATAGATGCGGAATTAAAATCCATTATCCAAGCAATGTATACTGCGTGCTCAAAATCATGGAGTCCATCAGCGCTTTCCAACAGGGATCGGTGCGGACTTCAAAATAGTACAGAGTTTATTGTTTAAATATTTTGAATTTTATACCTACATTTCACCCACCCATACATTCCGTTGTTTGTTGAAACTCATTTATGAGTTAAATTCTCATTTCAGGAATTTTGTCCAAGGAATCACTCAAAATCGTGATGAAATCTCTCATGGATTTTATTCAAAGTAACTGCTTAATTTTCCTTAGTTCACCATTTTCGAATAATCTTTTTATTTAGGAAACTTTAATATTAATTATGTTTTTTAATAAAAGATGGAGTGAAGAAATTCACAGTCTATTCGTGATGTTTTTAATTGCAGCCTCGTGCTTTACGAAAAGACTCAAATTTTGTGGAATCAAGAGGTGGATAGGAAATTCAAATTTCTCAATTAAACTTCAGAAAGATTTTACAACTACGGTGAAAGATCTGTTGGATGAAGGCCAAAGTGAGTCCAACTTTGTTGGGGTTTACGTTGTTTTCTTGCTCCAAGAACAATTAAAATTTCTAATAAATTGTGTCCATAGTTAAAATGTCTACTCTGAAAAGGGCCGAATAACTTTGTACAATTTTGTCTTTGTAACAATTTGTAATGCGTCTACTTAAATAAATAATTCTCACATAGGCACCCGGAGAGAAGATTAGTAAGGCAAGTAGTCTTTTTGTGAGTGGACTTAAAGGCCTTTTTGACGTCAACAGAAACTCAAGACAAATAGGTGACCTGTGTCTTTGTATCTGGGATTCGTGAAGTCACCATTTCAAATAAGGAATGAAATTCTTTCAACTTTCTAGATGCCTCAACTGAAAGAATCTATTTAAATGATTTTCTGAGGGATATTGGCGCAATTACTAATCTCACTGAAGCCAAGTTTTACAGCACTTCAACGCAGGCTCTCTATGCGCTAACTCCCGCTGTCAGAGATCAAAGTAGAAATAAATTCCTCGAAAATGTCCACGAAACTCTAGCGCTTGTGTCCGCAGACCTTCTTCAGCAAACTGAGGGCGAAATCACTTTCATTTATGATGACAGCAACAGTGAGTCGCCGTTTTTTTGCAATCAAAGTATGAATTCTCTGTTAAACGTTTTATAATAGGGGAATGTAATGATTTCGGAACAATGATCCTTTTTAACCATCAATTAAATTTATTACTGGCTTAGAATAGTTGTAAGGTATCCTCAGCGTGCATTGATTTACTCAACGCAAAATAGTTTCATATTTTATTTGTAAGCATTACAGATATAGCCTAAGTTGTTCATGTTACTGATTAATTGTATGAATATTTCCGAAATCCTGAAACTGCTAAATCCATGCAGGGTGCATTAATTTATGAAGATTTTGAAGTTCCGAATGGTGATTCAACCACTAGAATAATATTTAATGAATTCTAATCTTCAGAGGACTCCCAATGGAGTGAACTCATCTTACAGATCTAGAAAACCCGATCATAAAATTTCGCTCAATTATCCAATAAAAATGAATATCAGCTAACTAAAAATTTGCTTCCAAATACAAAGTTGCTCAATGCCGAAAATTTATGAATTAATTAAGAATAGTATTCTTTCAATTCAATTATTAATTAAGTGTGCTAATATTGGTGACATTTTGATTTCAACATATTTCCACTATCTTTACTTTCTCATCCTATTTACGATAACGCGAGTTATTTGTCGTTCGAATGAGCTAATGTAAAAGTCGGCAAAAAATGTTAAATTCTGCAGTGAATTAAAGAAAATTTTTTTAATTGTGTTTAAATTGAAAAGTGTTAACACCTACATTTATGTGTTCATTTCTAATTCAATAAGTTCAATTACTTGTTCTCTATTTGGAATAATTTAATTCATCAAGAGTTGAAAACGCTTGCTTTCTTCTTGATCATTCAATGCTTTTCCTTTGAATGGCGCTATTAATTGTAAGTCGGTTAGACGATGTTCAATACCTGAATATCGGGATGTTTGATAGACCTTCTTTCACATGGTGCACCCTGGGCAACCTATTCTCGTACGGATAAAGTCTTTTTACCAGTAGTTGACTTCTAACTAACAACATCCCAATGCGTGTCATATTCCACCTCTACCTCAGTACTCACCTCATCCTTTTTAGACCCTTGTAACTATCTCTTTTACATCTTTGAAATACTCCTCTGTTCCCCCTCTCGACTTTTCTCATTTTGATTTTCCTCACCTCTGTGAACCCTGAAGTCAACTAAAGAGCTAATGATAACTATCAAAATGCCTGCCATTTGAGATAAATAAATAAATAAATACTTGAATATCTGATAAAATACATTCATCCTATTTTTTAGAATTATTCTTTCTCATCCACTCGATTGAGAATATCGAATTCAATGTGCTCCAATTGAAAGATGATCGGATGAACGATGAAAGTGCGGTGAAAATGTTGGTTAACATTTTCAAAAGTGCAGGAACTTCGCACACATACGTTTTGCTATTCCGACCTGAAACAAACTTTGATTATTCCCAAAAATTTCTTAGGCTAGTAAGTTCTTATTTTAAGCAATAAACAATTTATATGTTTATGTTTATATTTAAAATCAATCGACGAGTTTAAATCAACTACTAATTTT